TCAGAGTAGAACTGTGCCCCACAGGGTTCTCAGTGGATGATTTTTCATAAGTAGATCCCACTCATGGTGCCTCGTGTGTGTCAGAGTAGAACTGTGCTCCACAGGGTTCTCAGTGGATGATTTTTCATAAGTAGATCCCACTCATGGTGCCCTGTGTATGTCAGAGTAGAACTGTGCTCCATAGGGTTCTCAGCGGATGATTTTTCATAAGTAGATCCCACTCATAGTGCCCCCATGTGTGTCAGAGTAGAACTATGCCCACAGGGTTCTCAGTGTATGATTTTTCATAAGTAGGTCCCACTCATGGTACCCCGTGTGTGTCAGAGTAGAACTGTGCCCCACAGGGTTCTCAGTGGATGATTTTTCATAAGTAGATCCCACTCATGGTGCCCTGTGTGTGTCAGAGTAGAACTGTGCCCCACACAATTCTCAGTGGATGATTTTTCATAAGCAGATTCCACTCATGGTGCCCCATGTGTGCGTCAGAGTAGAACTGTGCTCCACAGGATTCTCAGTACATGAGTTTTCATAAGTAGATCCCACTCATGGTGTCCCATGTGTGTCAGAGTAGAACTGTGTCCCACAGGGTTCTCAATGGATGAGTTTTCATAAGTAGATCCCACTCATGGTGACCTCTGTGTGTCAGAGTAGAACTGTGCCCCACAGGGTTCTCAGTGGATGATTTTTCATAGGAGATTGCCAGGCATTTCTTCTGGGACACCTCTGAGTCAACTTAAACCTCCACCTTCTATGTAGCAGCTAAACACATTGATCGTTTGTGCCATATGAATTGTATGTGTGGTTTCCCATCCCATTCATATTGAGCTGGGGAGGCAGTGGGGGTTCCCCTCCAATACATGACAAGTGTTGGCTTTTACTAAAGAAGCCATCCCCCAGTTTCCCTTGTGGGGTGTGAGTTTGATGACTCAGCGTATAAAAATGATCATTGAAACAAAATCTCCAAGCCCGGGATCTGAAGACACAAACACCATCTAACATAGAGCATTACAGAAGATGTTATCCTTCAAGAATGTACCAGAACTAGAGCACAAACTAGTCTGAGGTTGATTCGATATATGTCTTGAAACCCTGGGGAGCCCCAGGTACTGAGGTGCCAACTTCATCAAGGCCATCCAGTGTTGGCACCAGCTTTTGTCCCATGCTCGTGTTGGTGATGATGTGGATGAAGAAGGCATGATGAATGAGATGTTGTAGCTGAGTATTTGGACTCATCCACCTCCATGTACAACAGACCTGGAAGTGGACCCTGGTATAAAGAACATAGCGCTGCTGATAGGAAAAGGGGATCCAGGTCACAGCCCCTTCATGACAAAAGCTAGCTTCCACTCTGGTTAGCCTTTGTTGTCCCACAGACTGGTCTTAGAGTAATCCTCAACTACTCTCTGGGGCATTTGGAAAATCTGTTACACAGGAACTTTTTAAAGTGTTGAAGAGCAAAGATGTCAGCTTGAGGACTAAGGTGCACCTGACCCAAGCCATGGGACTTTCAATAACCTCATATGCATGCAAAAGCTGGACAGTGAATAAGGAAGACCACAGAATAACTGATGCTTCTGAGTTATGGTGTTGGAGGAGAATATTGAAAGTACCATGGGATGCCAAAAGAACCAATAGAACCATTTTGGAAGAAGTGCAGCCAGAGTGCTCCTTGGAGGCCAGGACAGCCAGACTTCATCTCTCATATTTTGGACATATTGTCAGGAGGGGCCAGTCACTGGCTATCATGTTTGGTAAGGTGGAGGGTCAGAGAAAAAGAGGAAGACCCCCAACGAGATGGATTGGCCAAGTGGCAGCATCGATGGACTCAAGTGTGGCAACAGTAGTGAGGTTGGCCTAGAATCAGGCAGTGTTTCATTCTGCTGAGCATAAGGTCACTATGGGTCGGTACCGACTCGATGTCACCTAACAACAACAATCAGGAGGAACCAGTCCCTGGAGAAGGACATCATATTTGGTAAAGTGGAGGGTTGGAGATAAAGAGTAAGAATCCCAACCAGATGAATTGGAACAGTGAACGCAGTAATGGATTCCAGTGTAAAAACGATTGTGAGGTTGGCCCAGGATGGGACACTGCTTCATTCTGTTGTGAACAGGGTTGCTATGAGTCGGTACCGACTCGATGGCACCTAACAACAACTTTCGGGAGCTTATACCTTCTCGTCTCCAGCACCAGATGACCTTGTCTCATACCCGTCACTGTATCCCAGGGCTTATCTGGCATGTCCTCCCAGCTAGCCACAGTCTTCTCTGTCCCGAATCTCACAATGAGACCCGCATTCTGGACCTGAAGGGTGTGAGTTCAGGCAATAGTGTGTCTGGGCAGTGATGAAGGTCTTGTCAGCTGGCAGGGGAGTGGGTTCCAGGACTGGGAACCCCTGTGTGTCTTGCACTTGATACCCGTTCCATGAACTGGCCCAATCATCAATGCCTGCGATGTGCCTTTCTGGAATAAGGTGTGGCCATATCGTTTTAGACAATACCAACTATCTCTAGATTAGGAAAGTTAAAACCATGCATCCAACAACAGGGAGGAAGAAGGTCAGCTAAAGTACCCCGGCAGCATTTCATTCCGTTGTGCATGGGTTCTTTATGAGTGAGACCAATTGGATGGCACTCAACAACTGGAGCTCCACAGAACAAAGACCTGGTGATCTGTTCTCATAAACATTACAGCCTAGATTGTGAGGCTGGTGCAGAACTGGGCAGGGTTTCTTTCTGTTGTGCATGGGGTTACTATAAATTGGAACCTACTCGACGGCACCTAACAACAAGAAAAAATAAGATTCCAACCACCTAATTATATACAGAGTAGAACCGCCGTATAGAGTTTCCAAGGCTGTACTTTTTGAGGTAGACCATGGATTTCCAGAAAAGAACCAGATCTGTGTTGGAAGAAGTACAGCCAGAATGCCCTTGAGACGCCAGGATGGTGAGACGTCATCTCTCTTACTTTGGATGTGTTATAAGGAAACACCATTTCCTGGAGAAGGACATCATCCTGGGTAAAGTGAGGGTCAGTGAAAAAGAGGGAGACCCCCAACAAGATGGATTCACACAGTGACAACGACGATGGGCTCAAACATAGCAATAATGGTGACATTTCATTTTGTTTTGCATTGGATCGCTATGAGTTGGAATCAAGTCGACATCAACTAACAACAACAATTGAATGAGCTTTCTTGGTTCTCGTCTTAGATCAGAATACCACTCTCCTTGGGAATTCAACGTGTAGATGTGACTGTTCACTTTTACAGAACACATAAAAACCCTGTGGGCTGGATTCTCTGCAGGAATCCCTGGTTAGCACACTGAGACTCTTCAGATTCTCCTTAGAATTTCTTCCTAATAAACTCTCTTTTCCACTCGACCATGGAACGAATTGTATTGACCAGCCCGACCCCTGGCATTCAGACACCAACTTTGTTAACAGATGCTGTGTCCGGTACCCTCCTTACATTCCTTATCTGATCACGCCGTTTCCTCCCTCTCTGAGCAGCATGTGGCTATGACTGTATTTGTTTCAGCTGCTACAAGAGCTGGCATTGAACTGGAGGGGGTTGTCTGATTTGAAAGAGATTAAACGAAGCAGGCACAAACCCAGGAAACAGCCCCAGGAAGCATTTGAAGTTCAGTGGAGCTCAGAAGTGGGTATCTTCCTCCTTGTCACTCAAGTTGTTGCTATAGAAACCTGAACCCAAGAAACCAAGATGGCGCCCTCAACACATCAGCATCCCCCAAAGTGATGAGTGGTCCCCAAAGATGGCTCTCTCCATCTGGAGGGAGCCAAAAAGAGGGAAGAAAATCAAAGACATGTGGGAAAAATTATCCCCAATGACTGATAGATCATGCCTACTCACAGCCTCTAGGACACTGAGACCATCTAAACCAGAAAGTGTCCACCTACCATGGCTGGTAGCTCAGAAAGAGATCACATGACAAGGTCCTGGGTAGAGTGAGAGAAAAATGTGCAGTAACATTCAAAATTATAAAAAATAACAGGCTTACTGGATGGATAAAAACAGGTGAAACCCCCAAGATTATGGCCATTAGACACCCTTCAAGTCTGGAACTGAGCTCACCCCCATAGCTTAACTTTCAGTGAAATAAAGTCAAATAAGGAAAAGGTTTATCAAGTAGACAATGACGTCAGGGAGCAAAGCAATGAACTATAGGAAATTCAAAAGGGCTACATTTTCCAAAGCACAGACACACAAAGCAGGAAGGGACAAGGAGAGAGGGACAATTGGAAATGGAAGACCCAAGGAAGAAATGGGGAGAGGGCTATTCCATTGTACAGATTGTAAACAATGTCATGAGACAGAATGTGTATAAGTAGCTGAATGGAAAATTAATGTGCCCTGTAAACTTTCACCCAAATTAAAATTAAGCAAAAACTACAGGCTCCAACAGCATCAACAGACAAAAGCTTAGATTTCAACTGGGCTTCAATAAAAGTGGAGACAGAGCTGATTAAAACTGTCATAAAACCCTAAACTCATTGCCTTCAAGTCACTTCCGATTCAAAGCAACCCTAAAGAAGATTTCTGAGATTAGAGATCTTTACTGGGGAGCACAGCCTCATAGTTCTCCCTCAGAGCAGCTGCTGGGTTTGAACCATCGAGCTTGGGGTTACGCCATCGGCAGAGTTACGTAAACGAGGGATCACTAAAATGTTGTATGGAGGATTCAGAAAAAAGAAACCTTTGCATTATGGTATTTATAAAAAGACCTTCTTTGACCCCAAAGAGTATTGTTTTGCTTTGTCTACAAATGTACAAATAAACTAGCTACCTTCACTAGTTTGTCCATTGTAAGTGGCCTCAATCAAAAATAAAATAGACTTTCAGCTCTTGTTACATAAAAGGAAGTGGGATTGGAAGGGCAAAGCTCATTGAGGTCTGCGTTTGAGACAAGCTAACCCCTGAGAATCACAATACTCTTTAGAAGCAAAGGTATTGAGAATTTGTCTCTGGCTCTTCAGATATGTTATCAAGAAAGACAAGTCCCGGGAAAAGGACATCATGTTTAGAAAAATGGCAGGTCAGAGGAAAAGAGGAAGACTCTAAATATATAGACGGGCACCATCATAATAATAGTGGGATTGGCCAACACAATGCTCCCTTCTGTTGTGCATACGCTCTCTCAGAGTCAGAACCAACTCAACAAACCCTAAAAACAACAACCCTAGAACTGCTTACTGGTGTGGCAAGGTCGAAAAGCAAACCGAAATGTTGGGGGTTCAAAACACCAGTAAAGACTTGGGAACCGCATAAAGGATCACTATGAGCTGGAATTTAACAACAAGCTTTTACTAGCAATCCCAAGGGGCTCCAAACCAGGGGATGCCACGCAACAAAAAGTTGAGGTTCAATATTACCAAGACATTCATCAGTAAAAAGATCAAGTGATACAATTCTGAAATATCATCCACTGAGAACCCTGTGGAGCACAGTTCTACTCTGACACACACAGGGGGCACCATGAGTGGGATCTACTTCTGAAAAATCATCCCCTGAGAACTCTGTGGAGCACAGTTCTACTCTGACACACATGGGGCACCATGAGTGGGATCTACTTATGAAAGATCATCCACTGAGAACCCTGTGGAGCACAGTTCTACTCTGACACACACATAGGGGCACCATGAGTGGGATCCACTTATGAAACATCATCCACTGAGAACCCTGTGGACACAGTTCTACTCTGACACACATGGGGGCACCATGAGTTGGATCTACTTATGAAAAATCATCCACTGAGAACCCTGTGGGGCACAGTTCTACTCTGACATACATGGGGGCACCATGAGTGGGATCTACTTATGAAAACTCATCCACTGAGAACCCTGTGGGGCACAGTTCTACTCTGACACACACGGGGATACCATGAGTGGGATCTACTTATGAAAAATCATCCACTGAGAACCCTGTGGAGCACAGTTCTACTCTGACACACACGGGGACACCATGA